CCGCACCGCCGCCGTCCCCCTTTTGTCTTCGCCGTTGCATTTCAGCAGGGGGTGGAGAGGTGGAAATGACATTTCATTCCTCTCCCGTGAGCGTGTGCGCGCGCGTGTGCTGCGCCCGCTGACCCCCCTGAAAATTGAAATAATGATAATGCGCGTCTCCTGACTGCATCAAAGTATCAGCACATCAAAAGCCAGGAGGCATGAAATGCAAATGATAAAGTGAAAGCAGATGGATTGTGCATGATCGCCTGATGCCCAATGAATTTTAAAAGGTGCTGGTTCACATGGGGAGAGGGGCTGAAATAAACACGTTATCCCTGCAATTTTTTTTTGTTCTTGCCGCTCACTCCTGACAATATTTTTTCACCCTCCAGCGAGCAGCCCCTGCGCCTCCTGCTCCGGCCCTGCCTGGCGCGCGCCCGCGCTCCGGCTCTGCCTCGCGCACGTCTCGGGTCATGTCGCCGCAGCTCCGGTGGAAATAATAAGATATAAACCACGAGGTTGTTATTTGCATAGAAATAGCATGGAGCCCCAGGCAGCATGGGAGAAGGACACAGAGATCATTTGTCTAAAATTTTAATGAAAACTTTTGCTGAGGCAGAGATTTTTTTTTTAACTTTCCCTGCCTCCCCCTTTTTTCCGCCTCCCTCGGCTCCCGTTCCTCGTCACGGGTGCAACGTGTGCGGTGTCCGACGAGGTCTGACGTGCTGCTCTCTAGCAGGTTCAGCTCCTTCCTCGGAAGCGGGCTGGGAAGCCCTGCGCTCCCAGGCCCATGGTGCTGGCGCACCCTCTCTGTGCCTGACGCGGGACAGCCGGAGCGCACAAGGGTCTTCCCAAGCCTGTTCCCCACCTAATTTTAATTAGTTTGCACCTCCGGGTCTTTTGTGTTTGAAAGAAATCCCATCTTTAAGACAGTTTTGTTCACGTAAACAAATGGTGGCTTTCCATGACGATTTCCCTAAGGATCCAGGCTGCTTTCCCTTCCCCTCGGGGTCCCGGCTTTGGCAGAGATGCTCAGGAGCAGCCACTGACGTGCAACACCCCCTTCCCCGCGCTCGGCCTGGCCCCTGAGCGGCTGTTTCCTGGGTGCTGGGGAGCAGCCGTCACCCTCTCTGTGCCTGACGCGGGACAGCCGGAGCGGCCGTCACTTCCTCGGGTTCCCTGTACCGCAGGGTGCGTGGTGGTGTGAGAGGAGCCCAGGGATGGCCTGAGGTCCATCCAGTGGCCATGGCACTGCAGGTCCCGCTCCGCTTCCGCTCCACGCCGCTCCCGGGAAGCGCGGGGCATCCAGCTTGTCCTGGCGTCACAGAGGAAGGTCTGCCGTGAGTGCCCCAGCAAAGGGCTGCGAGATGCACCCACGGGAGAAGCTGTTCTCAGCTTCTAGCAGGGTTCAAGTATCCCGCCCGTGCACGGGGCCTCGCTGGGTAGTTGATCCGTCAATAGACCCTTCACCTCCGGACAACCCGACGTAGATCTGACCGCTGCTGCCCGCGGGCCCGTGCACCAGTGCTGGGGTGTCTGCCCGTGCACAGGCCTCGTCCTGGGGATGTGGGAGCAGAGGGGAGTCTGCAGCATCCCCAGGGCAGCCGGTGCTGTCTGCCACACTGTGCCAGGTTTCTCTTTGCATATGTGAGGTGAGTGTGTTGGTGGGGATGCAGCTTCTGATGGATGCTTTCAGGCTTGGCTGCTTGTCCATCAGAAGCCCTCATAGGGCTGGTAATTTTGGAAATGATCCCTGGCCAGCTGGAGTCTGCCCCGTGCTTCGACAAAAGAATCAGCAGAGACTGTCAGGAACATCCAAATGTCTCTTCCCTTGTATTCCTCTAAGAAGGAAAGTGTTCTGTTCGGAGCGTAGCTACTGGAAAAGAGTTGGCGTGCCAAGCACGAGCTTGACAAATGTCACCTGCCAGGAGTGTGTGAGAAGGACGTGGAGAAGGAGGCAGTAAAGACAAACAGTCCAAAAGCCCCAAAACACGAAATGTTCAAAGCAGAGTCAAAAAGCAGAACTCTGGACTTCGTTTCCCAGTCTGCAACCAGCTGCCTCCCTGGTTGGGCTGTGTCATTTTGGATCCAGACGGGTTTGGCTGTTCCCTGCTCATGCTTTGGGCCTCGAAGCTGCGCTCAGGGGTGTTTGCAGCGCGTCGAGCACGCGGAGGCGGTGGGGACGGGCGGGCTCTTGCTCCCAGAACGATCCTGATTTAAGCAGTGTTTCTGTGAAGTTTGTATTAAGTAGTTTAGGCTTGGAGGGCTCAGAAACTGATGCACCACATGAGTAATGCGCTATTTGTGACAAGGCCAATTGGTGGCTTTTCGGGGTGGCAGATACTCCTGCAGAACCGCTTGGGCCGTGTTTGCGGGGTTGGCTCTTAGCGGGCCTTGGCGATGGCCGGTGCAACGTGCGGGTGTCAAAGGGACGCGCGGGCGCTTGTCCCACGGCCCTTCCCAGCGCGTCTCCTCGGAGCAGCCGCCGCCGTGCGCGGTGAGCGCGTCCCCGAGGGCTCCTTGATGCGACAGACCATAATTGCTGTGAGGATTGCTGACAATCTGCCTTCAAAATCCAACAGCCCCTTTGCACAGGGCCAGAAGGGAGTATCCTTGGAGTTTGCATCCAGCCCTGAGTTGTAATGACCGTTTTCACACCTGGCTGCGCTGGTGGAGATTCGTGGATCCGCTCGTGGAAATCTGGGGTTGAATTTTGCGGGATCATCCCCGGCGCGGCCGGAGGAGCGAGGTCCCCGCGTGGTGCCTGTTGGGTGCCCCTCGTCGCCCTTCCCTGCCGCCGCGTGGCCGTTCCTGGGTGCTGGTTGTGTCTGCAGCTCGCAGGGCTGCCCGGGCCCCTGGCAGCAGTATCTGCCTCCAGTTTCACAGCATGGGAAAATAAAAAAAGGGCCCTGCAAGATAGATGCTTTTGGGGGGTTTACTAGGAAATACGGATGTGGGAAAGGTCTTCTTTTGAGATTCCAGGCAGGGTAGCTTAGTATCTGCTCAAGATGACTCCGGTGTTGGGATTAGATCAAAGCAATCATGTGAGAGCAATCGTGTGAGTTAGAACAGCAAGTGCCATCCCTGTCATTCAAAGAAGCATTATAATTATTAATGCATGATATGAATCTTTCTGTAGTGGCACAGCAAGACTATTAGGAAGATACGTATGGGTGCAATGTGTTTGAGAATGCTAATCAAAGGGGGCCCAGGAAATGTCAGGCGGGAATTGGCTCTGGGAGCGCTCCGGTGGTGCCGCTCGCCAAGGTCACCGCTCCGGCGGGGGACACGGGGCTGCTCGGGCGGTGGCAGCCGGGGACACGGGGCAGGAGCGGTGCCACGAGGCGCCTCGGGGCTCTGCGGGGACCCCTACGGCTCCTCCGTGCTGGTCGGTGGCTCCTAGTGGCGCCGAGGCCGTCGCTCCGGGTGGGATGAGCGTCCGGAATCCAGACACAAACACCCGGCTCCATCGCTGCCCCTTGGCTTTCATTGCTTTTCCTTAAGTGGGATATTTGTGTATTGTTCCCGTTAGAGACGATTTATTTTCCAGACATGGCACTATCCGTCCCTTTATGTTTGCTTAAGGAAGAAAGTCTAATAGATTTCTGTTGCCTTTTTTTTTCCTTCCCTCTTTCTATCGTTTTTAATGTGGATCTTGATCAGTTTATCCGTGTGGAAGGTGCCTGTGCCGGGATGTTCATTCCTCCTAAACAGGAGGTCAGCACCGTGGTTCATGTTCTGCCTCTCTGCGTTTCCCCCTGTGCCTTCCAGGGAAACTCCCGGGTCTTTTAAACCTCTCTGTATTTGGTGTAACAGGAATTGTGTCGGTTCCCGGGGATCCTTCGGGGCCTGTTTTTGCAGGCGGGCTGGCTCCGGTGCTGGAGCAGCCTGTCCAGGGCGGGAATCCCGGGATCCCTGCTCCTCCCCTGCCCTCTGTCCCCAGGCCACGTTTCTTGTGCTGCTCTTGTGTCTGCAGGGCCTCCCTGTGGCTCTTCTGCCCCATGATCGTAGAGAAATTTTCTGTCAATCTGCATTCTCGAGTGGGAATTACAGGAGCAACGTTGAAGGTTGTCAAGATACCTCCCGTTTAAGCCCAAACCATGCTGCAAAATGAACAAGTTAGTGCCCTGACGAGAGGTACCTGCACTGGAGCCTTGGAGGATCCCTGGATCAGAGGGATCTCTAGGGGTTGAGGGGACTCGAAGAATGACCAAAACAAGAACCCTAAGGATCCTGGAGCCAGATCATTACTAGAGTTTATAGGGCTGGTGGCGGGATTAGGGGAACCCTGCTCCGAGCCCCATGGGATTTATGAGTGTTTGGAGCATGTAGAGTAGGGGCCTGTAATTTTAGTTTGCAAAGTATATTGAGTCCTTTTGATTTAGCACTGACTGGTGGAGTGACCTTGAGCAAAACACACAGCCTCCCCGCACCACGGAAGGAGAGCTAGGCAGGAGTCTTTTGACAAGACATTTTTCATTTGAAAATGCCAGTTCAATGAAACTGAAACTCTTCAGGAAAAAAAAAAGGACCAGTTTTGATGATTTTTTTTTCCTTCCACCTGACTTTTCATTCCAAATTAATTTTTATTTATAATATCTAAAATATTTCAGATGTTGGAAGCAAGCACCTCAGTTCTGTCTCGTATATGTTCAGATCTTCAGATTGCAGAATTGGATTTTCCGCTGCAATCCAGAAGAGGATTTTCCTTTTCCAAAATTCCCGTAGATTCTTGCAGGATGGAAAGCCTCTCTCCTCTCGGCAGCATCCGGTGGCACTGCCTGTTGCGGGGTCCCTTGGGCCGGTCTTCCCTGCTGCGTCCGAGCAAGGTGCAGGTCTCTGCTTCCCGCTCCGGTCTCTGCTTCCCGCTCCGGTCCCCCCAGGGTGGAGCAGGGAAGGCTCCAGCAGCCAGACCTGCTCCTGGATTTGCAGTCAGGAGCCATCTCCACTAACGGGCTGCGCCGCCCCCCCAGCTCCCCTGCCTCCCGCCTCCCCCATCACTCACCCGAGGAAAAAAGAGCTGGAGCCACAGCTTGAAATATATCATGCAATAGTGTATCATGAATTTCTTGTGAATCACATTGGTGAAGCAGGTTTATTTATTTCTGAGACTTTAAATCAATACAAAGTAGGTCTCTCAGTTCTGAAGCTGGGATGGAGTGTGAAAAAATGAGCCCATTGTACTCTTAAAACTTTGGGGAAAGGAGATGACAGCTATATAATTCCATTTACCAGGCACTAGGGGCTTTAATGTGAAGGTGACAGGGAGCTCTTTGTGCATTTAGAGCACCATATCTTCTAAATAAAAGATCTGTAGACTTGATAGTGGAGTAGAGCTCTGACTTTAATAATCTCCAAGCATTAGACCGAGCCAATATGTTCCCCAGTCAGAAGGGTCCCCCACCGAACGCTCGTAAATTAAAAGCCCAGGAGCTGCACACGCTCCGGGGTTGGAAATGCGGGAAGGGCCCGGGGCGCTATGGGGCCGCGGCGCGCGCAGGGACCGGGCGCTACGGGGCGTGCGGAGCCTCGGCCATGGGCACCTTGCGGGTTCCCGCCTTGTGCTCTCCGGTGACACGGCCGTTCGGATCATTTCTGCCTGTTTATGAAAACTAGGCTGTTTGCAGCGTGTGCATGGGCATTTTCTGCATCAGGTTTCTAGCAGACAGTGTAAATTGTGGGATGGGAATTGCAATTATTGAAATTATTTGGATAAAAATCTGACACGTTTGATATAAACACATGATATGCTCTGAATAACAACAGCCCTTATGTTACATAATGGCATTCAAGACCTCCACTCTCACTTCTTCACATCTCTCGTCTCTGATGAAGCCTTTGAGCCACCCAGGTTTGCAGTTGTACCAGCTTTGCAGTTGTACCAGCTTTGCAGCAAACCCCTCCACTAACCAGCAACTCGGATACAAGACACAGCGAAAGCCCCTGGTCATCCCCATTCAGAGTCACATATTACCAGTGTTCAGTTATATTTGTGCTATATATCTGGGCTTTAAAAATCTCTCAGGGTTTTAGGTTCACCCTTTCCCCAACTCCTGGTCGAGTCTTTTTTCTTACGAGTTTGTAGCATCTGTGTAACTCGTCTGGCATCGTGTGCTGAGTGTGGAGCATCCGACTCCTCCGGCTGCAGACACGTCGCCTCTGCCCTCCTCCGGCAGCTGAGTTCTCTTTCGCCCTTGGATATTTTCTTGCAGAAACATTTATATAGCGGTATGCATTGCACCATTTAAAATTGTTAATTGGAGATTGAATTACTTGTCAGCCTTTAAAAATGTAGTCCTCTCAGGTCAGGGATGAGGTGGTTAGCAGGGCCGAATGGATGAGCTGTCGCGTTCATTTTCCCTGGAGCCGAAGAGTCCTTGTCTGTGGGCTGGCTGCCCCTTGGCTGCCTTTTAGCCTCAGGCACCCACCGGGGGACGAGGGGGACGGGCTCCTTGGCCCCTCGGCCTGTCCTTCGGGAGCCCTTGGCTCGTGCGTGCGGCCGGAGCGCCTTGGAGCGCGGCGCGGGCCGCGGTGCCTCTCGATGAGCAGCAGCAGAGCCCGTTTTGCACGTACGTACATCCGCGTTAGTTTGTAGATGCGGAGTTTAAATCCTCTCTATTTTTATTTTCCTCTATGGGAGCATTTAGCCAGGCTCGTGCCTGGCATCTGGAGGCCAGCGCTTTCCCTCCTCTCTGAACCTAAACCTACACTGCCGTCCTTGCGGAGGAAGATGAAGGTGTTTGAGCTTGGAGGGGAGAGCCGACCTCTCCCTGTGCCAAGGGGCCTGTCGGGACGCGGGAATTGCTGAGCAAGGTCCCAACTCCTGCCCCTCGGGCTCTCCGAGGGGACCCTTGGTGGCTCCAGCATCCTGCGAGCAGGGGATCGGACGGGTCGAGGTCTGCACCGCGCAGGCAGGAGCCCTGTGGACAAGCTGAGCTGCACGGGGAGGACGTGGGTGCCGTCCCCATCCCTCCATCGCTCCTTCTCGGAAAGCTCCGGCCTCCCGGGGGCAGCCCGGGGAGTGTGTGTGTGTTTGTGGGGGTTTAAGATCTAAATGAAGCAGGTACGTAATGCCCTCTGTCTGGTGGAAAGACTCAGGCCGTAAAAATAACAAACGGCATGTATTTGCTAGAATGTCAAAGTTATGAGTTTATTTTGTAATGATGTGCTCCTGCCTTCATGAGGTAAACTGGCCGTGGCAGAGGTGTTATTAGTAATATGGACTCAGCGGAGCAGAAAGCCGAGTGACCGAGAGATCAGTGTATCAGTCAGCGAGAGGGCAAATGGAAAGAGACAGCAGGAGAATGAGAAAAGAGCCGCGGCGCCGGGCGCAGAGAGGGAAGGAGCCACGTGAGAGGATTGGAAGTCCAGCAGGAGAGCTGGGTGCTGGAGGTGCCTCCGAGGAGCTCGCGGCACCCCACGTTGCTCCGCTGCCCTTCCTGCCCTGCCTCGGGCCTTCCCTGCCTCAGGAAGGGAGGAAATAGGAGCATCCGACCCGCCCTGTGCGTGGGTCAGGCCTCGGGAGACTCGGTCACCCGCAGCTCCGCCGTGGGTGAAGGGAGGGCAAGTCCCGGAGCCGTCTCCGGCCTCGCTGCAGCGTTTCCCATGAGATTCCCTGCTCACTCCCACATGCAGGGCTTGGAAAGGGCTTGTGAGGGGCTGCTGCATCCTTAGTGTCCCCTCCTGCTGCAGGAACAGGTTTGCACAGACCTACTTGCCATGTGCCACCTTCTAACTGTTTGCCTTTTGTTCCTTTTGGAAGGTGCTTGGACGGGAGGTTTATACTTCCAACAACCAGCTGGGCGGCATCCAGATAATGCACAACAACGGCGTGACGCACGGCACCGTGTGTGACGATTTTGAAGGAGTCTACACCATTCTGCAGTGGCTCTCCTACATGCCAAAGGTAGTTTCTGGCTCTGCGGTAGTGATGCTGTCAGCTCCTCTAGTCACTCTGTTCACAGCCAGGTTTGGGGGGTTGTGCATCCAGCTCTGTGTTTCCGGGGCTGGTTTCTGTGCTTGTAAGGAGCAAAATGGTTTAGGGTTGTGATTAAGGCTGTTGGACATTATGGTATTGAAATGCACAAGTAGCTTTTACCTGGGGGTGCTGGAGAAACTGGGACGAGGGGGAGCCTGGCACTGCCTTGTGCCCCTTCACATCACCCCTTTGGCATCCTCTGCTCGCTAATCTGGGCAGCAGGATTTTATATAATTGTCTCTTATGGAAAAGATTCTCCAAGTTCCTCTGTGAGGCAGTGATTTGTAGTGCTGATGTATGTGTGTAAGCTCCTCTGCAGCCAGGAAGGCAGCAAGGAGAACACACAGGTCACCTTTCGGTGCCTGAAGTTCAAGAGCACCTGAAGTACACTGCGTGGCAGGGGGTGTCCCAGGAGGTGGTGGCACTGTAGGGAGCTCCTTGGCACTTCCTCTGAGTTCTTGCAGAGGTGCTGGGACCCCTCAGGCACAGACCTGTGCAGGAAAGGTGGCTGCAGCAGGTCCTGTTAGATTTCTGATGTTTGGAGCAAAGCCACATAGGAGAGTAACTTCCTTCAATGTTTTTCTTTTTCCCTCAGAGTGTGTACAGCCCTGTTCCTATCCTCAAAGTCAAGGATCCAATAGACAGAGCCATAGAGTTTGTTCCTACAAAGACTCCCTATGATCCCCGCTGGATGCTGGCTGGACGCCCAAGCCCAAGTACGTAGATCTTCAGTGACCAAGGCATGCAATAGCGCGTGGGTTTGTGTCAGCACTTCATCTGTCAAGACTTTATGTCAGTATTTTGTCAGTGATGTGATTTTGGCATTCATAGCACTCTGGTACGGTTGATGCCCATGGCATAGGTAGAATGAGGAAAGCTACTGAGCAAATCACTTCAGCAAATGAGGCGGTTTCAGGTGGATCTGAGGTCCTGCCAGAAGACGAGGGCCCAGGACGGTGCAGCCTTTCCCAACAAGACCTTGTTCACACAGACTATAACTCCGTAGCCGCAGGAGAATGACAAGTGTGAATAAGGACAAAGAACAACACAGCTGTGGCTTCTATATGTAAAATAGGCTTAAGACAAGATGGTGCATTTGGCAAACCAGCCTTCACAAAGTGAACTTGATGGTGACATGAAAGGGTCAAGTGAAAATCTGAAAAACTCAGAAGCAGTTGGGGTGAACTGAGGTCTTTCAGGGTCGGGCGAGTTTGAGTGTCACTGACTTTCAAATGGATTTCAGTTCCTTCTGAGACTGTTTGGGAAAAGAGACTGGGAAGCCCTTGGATAACCAAGTGATTCTGGAAATTCTAGAAATCGGTTCTTTTAATGAAGAGAATCCAATGGAGCATGCGGGCCAAAATGTGCAGCTTGAGTGGGAAGTTTGTGGCTGACCTTCCAGGAGACCTTGTGGCTAACCCTGTGTACCTGGATTCTTTTTCTGTAATATTTTGAGGCTTGAATCTGACCTGTCTTTATTTTAAGACCTATAAAGTAATTCGTTTTAAGTCTTTAATATAAAATACAAAAACAGCATGTAAATTCTGAGTGCTTGAGAACATTTATACTAAGAGTGCTCGAGAACATTTATAGATTTTAGGGGGTGATGGTTCAAAGAAAAGTGTATCTACAAAAGCTTTTACCCCAAAGGAATCGCACAGTGTTCCTGCAGATCTTGGAGAATAATTATGTTAGAAATACAGCAAACCAGTGGTCCCCCCCACATGTGTTTGGGGCTTCGCAGCCTGTGTATGTACAAGCCACAGACTGGGTGTCCATTATGCTGCTGTTATTAATGAGTTTGGGGGGCTAAAATGAGATTTGTGATAAACTAAGTTTTCTGTTTTTGGATAATATTTTTTCATCATCTCTCAAGTAATTCATCCAGCTGTCTGGGTGCAGCTAACACTGGCTTCCAAATCGAGTGACTTCAGATTTTAATTTAGTGGAAGCGTTAAGGAAAGCAGATGATTCCCTGTGATAAGTTAAAGCAGATATCTCCTAGGTGAAAAGTTAAAGCCATTTATTAGAGGAGATATTGCCGTGATATTCTTCAAACTGACGCTCGACACGAGGCCAGAATCTAAACGATCAGCTTTGGGCTCACGATAAAGAGATAATTTTGAAATGGATGGTCACATTTTACAGTGGGGCCACAGAGGCAGGGAATGTAGAACACAGTAATTACAAGTTTGGTCTTGATAAAACACTCTCCATCCTGTTTAAGTCAGCAGAGGTTAGCTCGCTTGGATCTCCACTTTTAATTGGTTTTGGGCCTGGGTTTGCAGAAGCAGAGGTGCTTGTTCAGATTAGAGCATCCCTCAGCAGCTCCGTGCCAAGGGGCAGGCCTGGGAGAGCCTGTTTGCTTTTATTCCCTGAGCTTCACGCCCAGCAGGATAAACCCAGCTGAAATACTGGGAACCTCCTTGCCTTGGTCCTGCTGCGTGGAGGGAAGGAGCAGCTGGATTTCATGGAAGTGTTAAGGAATGGGCATCCTCTCTGGGCAAGAGAAAGGATCCGGTCTGCCCAGCACGGAGCCTCTTAGAGCTTGCTTTAGTCCAGGGAGAAAAGCATCTTCCAGTGTCTCGTACAGAGCAAGATTTTTATTGTTGCAGCACTTTATTTCAGGTTTCCTAGTGGAACACTCCAATGTACTGCCTAGTTATTAAATAGTGCAAAACTTCTGTATTTTATTCCTGAATTTCTTCAACATTCTTTTCTTCAAAGAAAAGACTAGAGTCAAGAGAAAATTGTGAGCTAAGTTTTAAAATAGAAATAGGCGTTTTGAAAAATATCTTTAATGACTTTGCAGCCTTTTGACAAATGTTTGTAGTGTCTTGGAAAAAATGGAGTTATTTATTTTAAGCATGCAAAGTCCCTCTGCTATCCGAACCCCATCGTTTAACAATAAATGATGCTTTTGCTGATAAATGACTGTCTTTATGCAGACTAGCAAATGAAATAAGACATGATGGCTGAAGGCAGACAAATGCTCAGCTGTCTAATGTTCCCTTGTATTATAATCTGTTTAAAAATAAATAAATAAAGAGTGCCAAGTTCTCCAGTTGGCATCTTGTAACAAATTTCAATTCTTCTTTCTATATTCTATTTTCTTCTTCCTTCCCTCCCTCCCACATCCCTCTTCTGACATTTTTTCTTATTTTTCTTTTCTTTTTGCACCTCCCCTGTAGGTCAGAAAGGCCAGTGGTTGAGTGGTTTCTTTGACAACGGCTCGTTCCTCGAGATCATGCAGCCCTGGGCCCAGACAGTTGTGGTTGGTAGAGCCAGGTAAATTCTAAGAGAATTTTAAACCTTTGTAGAAATCAAGTTGTCATTGATGCTTTACACTTTTTTTTAGAACCTCTTTTTGAAACTGTTGAAGGTAGGTAAAAATTGTGGCTCTGCTATAATTTAGGGTGGGTTACGTAGTTTCTTCTTTTGCAATTACGCTTGGCTTGCAAGAGAAGTTCACCTAAAACTAGAGCAAGGTGCAAGAATCTCTGCAGAGAAGAACTTCGAGCAACTTGCAGCCTTTTTCAACGCGCGCCCACCACGGCCCATGCTGGTTGTCTTCCCGGCCGTGTCACACGCTGGGGTGCTCTGTGCTGCTCGCAGGGCCGTCGCTTCCCCCGGCACCTGCTCAGGATTCTGCAGCAGTCCCCGTCGGTTGGAGATTTACGCCCTGCCGGGACAGTATTTGCAGTGGTGGTGGTTCTCCTTGTCGCGGGTCCATGAACTCTCAGGGCTGGCAGGAAGCAGAAGCCTGGAGGCAGAAACTTGCATTTTGGCAGAATGCAAATCAGAGCTGGGCTCGGAACCTCTCCATCCCCACTTCATTTGGTGATTTGGGGGTCGATTTTTTTTCTTTTTTTTTAAGCTTTTGTCAGGAAAAAAAAAAAAGGAACTGTGAATTTCCTGAGATGATTGTCTGCTTCCTCTCAGGATAAAGCCATTCTGAGAGTGCATTTATCTCCCGTGCACTTGAGCTGCCTCGTGCTGCCTCCTTATCCCTTGTCCCTCCTCTTTCCTACCACTGCCACCTCGTCTCTCAAGACAGAGCTTCATGCTCTTGCCTCCAGCAGACTCCCAGCACCTAGTAGGCGTCAGCATTTTTGGCTAATTGCCCTTTTGTTAACAAGCAAGAGGGGAATAAAGAGGCTAAAGTGCCAGAGCAGCATCCTCAAGGATGCAGGTGTCGTGCCTCGTGCGTTGAGGTCCTGCCCACGAATGACCCATGTTGAGGCTTCCTGGAAGATGTCTGAAAAGGAAGGATGAAAGCGGGAGAAGGACAAGGCACTGCCGGTCCTGAAGGACGTGGCACAAGAGGGGCAGCCAGCTGAGCTCGGCCAGGGTAGCCACAAGTCAGGGCTCTTATCTCTATTGCAATGACTACACAAGTGGCTCCGGAATATTTGGCACTGAAACCTCCCATTTCTCATTTAGGCTCTTGAAAGCCATAGCTCTACACAGCCCTTCTAAGTGAGAGTCAGAGCTGGAGTTTGTGCTGTGAAACAGCAAAGTGTGTGACTAGAGTCATCTGCAGCATCCCAATGGACGTAGAGATGTCCATTCCCGACATCCCTAAAAGACCAGCAGGAGCTCTGCTAATATTTGAATGAAATGCTGCATAATTTCTGAATGAGGCTTCCAGATATGAGGCTGTGCTGAGCAAAATGTTCCTCTGATGCTCTGCTCTTAAGACTTTTTAGGGTCTTTAATGAGCTTGGAGTTTCCTTTGGAGGCTCCTGGAGGGCCAGGTGGTAGAGAGAAACATATCCTTTTCTTCAAATTATGCACTGGGGCAGAAAGCACAAACTGATCAGCGTGTCCTCAATGCAGAGTGACATGGGAGCGATGGCTGGGGACGAGCTGCTCCGAAGGGGCAGTCCCAGGACAGCAGCCGTGTGCGGGGTGTCTCAGCACCCCTCGTCACCCCTGCTGCTCCAGGCCTCAGAGCCCTGGGAGCCTTTCCCTGGAAGAAGGTGCCCTGGAAGAGCCTTTCCACTCTGAATATTTTGGCTTTTTTTACGCTGTTGAGAGGAGCCTAAAACAGCTATGGACTCAGCTATAGCTGCTGCACTTGACCTTGGGATGTCCAGTGACCTCTTGATATATTCGGTGTTTTATCTGACCTCCATAACACTTCCCCAAAGTTTTATCTTGCAAAGTACTGTAATCATTTAAAGGTTTTAGGTTAGGCAGTGCAGCAGGCAAAAAAAAAAAAAAAAATCCATGATTTAGCCAAGCTGGAGAGCCTTTGTTCAGGCCTGTGCTCAGCTTGGCTTCCCGCTCCTTTCTTCTGACAAATTCCACCTTGCTCTGGACTCACATACACATCTATATAACACAAATGAAACCGACTTCTTTCAAAAGCAGTGGCATTTTGGAGAAAAAAAATAAAACAAATATGAATGTATTCTTCTGGGATTGTTACTGTAAGTGCTGCCAAAACTCATCTTTTGTATGTATGTTTGGAATATGTGTGCTGTTGGCTGTAAATTGTCTTTTATTATTCTATGGCAACTTGTCCAGGGACACACTATAAAACAAGATGTAGCATCTTCATGTGCTAGCCTGATAAAATTTATATGAAGTATAATGGAAAACAGAAGTTGTTTTGAGCTGTTTTCAAGTTCAATAAATAACTGTAATACTTGGATAAAGATGTTCTTTATTAGGTCACATGGGCCCTAATATAGAAGTTATAAGTTACCGATTTAAGACGGCTTCTGCAATTACAGGTTTCTAGGCAGACTCTTAATCATGGTGAATGGGGATATTTTGAAGCCCCTCACGCGCACAGGCCCTGTCACTCGTGCGTGTCACGCAGCTGGAGGTGGCGGAGGCGCCAGGGTGGCTCTGCTGGGACTCCCGTGCCCGGAGGAAGCCCCTGTCACCGCAGCAAGAGGCCTTTGGTCTACGGGAGGTGGCGGAGGCTGCGGAAAGCAGCGCCGAACGGCGCTGGGACCCGGCTCCCTGCCCGTCCCCGTGCCCCTGCATCCTGCCGCCCTCGCCGTCCCGCTGTGCCGCAAGGCCTGGGGACAGGATGCGCGGCCGTTGCTCATCCAGCCCCTGGGACAGGGAATTTGTGTAAGCCGGAGAGGGCTGGGGCGGCTGGCACACACAGCAGTGCCCCAGGCTTAGCACCAACGTATGCGCTAAGCTTGGGCTTGGTTTATTCTCTTCTGTTTTTAGTGAGGTATCTGTTAGTTTTGAGATCTAGATTTTGCTCTGAAAATTATAAATTAGACTCTGGAATTACCCAGTCTCATGCCTAGGTCTTCAGAAAGGCTGGAATTCTTCCTCCTTTTGCTTGCCTTACTTGTCTCTTTGAGTATATGCAGGATTGACAACAACGTCTAGTCTTTTGATGGTAAAAAATAAAAGTGGATTTTTGTTTTCCCTCCCCTCTTGCCAGGCTGGGAGGAATACCTGTAGGAGTAGTTGCCGTAGAAACCAGAACAGTGGAGCTGACTATCCCTGCTGATCCTGCAAACCTGGACTCCGAGGCCAAGGTAGGCTGAACGTGTTGGTTGCTTGTCCTCCACAAACACGTCTTTGCAAAGTGTGGTTGTTTTGATGGCAATTTCTCGTCCCAAACGTGGGACCAGAAGTACAGCCATTCCTGGGGCGGGTGTTAGCACACGGCAGTTGTTGGCACAAGCGAACAGAGGGTTGTGTTGGCGGTTCGTACAGGAGACGCTTCCTCGGTTGTCCTGCTTCCGTGGTGACTGAAATGGGATGCTAAAGTAACGCAGGGCCTGGGGCAGGAGGTCTGGCAAGCAAAAACCGTCTCCCTGTTCTCTCACTGTGGCCACGTTAGCTCCTGCTCATGCTGCTTTGACATTTTGTCCAAATCCCCATCTGCTTTCACCACTCCAGCCCTACATCATCTCTTCCACATGTTCTTCTTCTCCACATACCCTTTTTCTCTCTTCTTCCCCCCACCTTCGTACAGCAGCCATTGTATCAGGCTTCTCACACCATCTCTATTCCTTCTCTTGGCTAAATCAACAGTCAAAGCTCCGTAGATGTTGGTGACAGAAGCGTTGTCCGGATTTTTCCATGGACAAGCAGATCCTAAGCATTTCATGAGCTGTCCTCCTCCTCGTTGGCTCCCCCTTGCCGCTCCCACCGTGTCCATTCCTGTGTTTTTCTGCTGTTGTGCTGCCAAGTGTTCCAAGTCTCACCAGGCTTCTCGGTGCTGCAGATAATCCAGCAGGCTGGCCAGGTGTGGTTCCCCGACTCTGCCTTCAAGACGGCCCAGGCCATCAACGACTTCAACAGAGAGGGGCTGCAGCTCCTGGATTGGAGAGGCTTCTCCGGTGGCATGAAAGGTAACTATGAACCTGGATAACCCGGCGAGTGGCTGTGCCCTCCTGGTCTCCTCGCCGGGGCCCTGCTGCTGGTCCCTGCAAGGCCACCAGCTCTGTGGCCCTTTGGGCACAGCCCGGCACGCGGGGAGAGCCCGGGAGCGCGCGGCCGGCACCAAAGCGGGTCATTTGCCAGCGGTTGAGCAGCTAACAAAATTTGCAGCTGCCAACATGGGCTAGTTAAACACTAATCCTGGGAAGCCCCTTCTGCTGGGGAAGCATTTTATGTCCTTAGGCCTCATCCTAGAAGTGGGACCAGTGAGCCGCCGGGATTGCCTATCCGGAATGCGCGAGCGTATTCTGTGAAGTGGAAGTGTTGACTCACTGATAACCTTGCACACGAATATTGTCATATAAAGACTGTCTCCCAGCTGACTCTTTGGTGGCGGTGGATGTTCATATGAAGTGAACAGTCATAAAACTGCTCAGTTAATATAGCAGCAGTTAGGTTTTTGCACTGCATATTGCTACTTTGAATTTTGTGGAGTGCCAAGAATGTGAGATAGATGCTATAAAATTTAAGGAAAAAATGACTGCCTTTTGCCTGCACAGGTCACCTCACCAGCACTGAAGTTACAGACCCACTAACGCAGCAGCAGTTCCTGGCGTTGTGCCCAAGGCTGTGTGGTTGCATTAGCGGGGTGCAAACGAGGGCTGGTTAGTTTTAGTTTGCTGAGTGCTCCAGGAGGCTGCTGCAAGGAGGGTTCTTTCCTTTAGAAAATACCTGTTACCTTGCAGGTTGACTTGGGGTCTTTGTGCTGCTGCTGGGCTCCCTTTGTGAGCTGCTTTCCTGCTGCACTGCTTGTGTGGGACGTAAGGAAGGAATGAACGCTTGGAAAAGTTGTAGAATGACTTTGCCGTTCTGTATTGCGTGGTCTTTTCCAGTGCTCTTTTGGGAGAGTATTCCTCAGAAACAGCTTTTAGCTTCACATTTGGGGCAGGAGTCCAGGTAGGAACAATATTGTGAAAATGCTGCTGTTTGTGTTGCGTATCCCACATCTGCCCCTGGCTTGGAGGAGGAGGAGGGCCCGGTGGCAGAGAGGAAGAGCAGAGCCCGGGCAGCTGGTCCGAGCGTTTTCCGCATCCCATTTTGTGCTGACGGGCTGGGCTGCCTGGACCATCTCCACGTCCCTCAGGGAGCTGTTTGCAGTTTTGGTGTCGATGCTGGTTGGGGATTATGCAGGGAGGGAAAATAAACAATTATGCCACCCCTCAGTGCACACACACACACTGCCAGGAGCCGACTGCACTGTGGGTAAAATGACTCCAAAATTGTGTGTAATGAGTAGGAAAAGATTAGAGACAGCTCTTGCTATGCTGAAAATTGACATTAGTGGAGGAGGGGAAGAGAGGGGAAAAAAACCCTCTTTACTAGTCGGCCTAGGAGGTCTAATTCAAGCAGTAAAATAAATAAATAAATAACATAAATAAAGGCATATCACAATGGTACTGGTGGTTTCCCCAATGAGCTCTATCTGGCCGGAAGGTTATTCAGCATAATGCAAAATTAAATTATAAAAACTGGCTTGAATATTTAGATGGAGGAGCCATTTGGAAGCGGTTTATTTAGGCGAACCGGCAGTGACCCACGACGGGGAGACATCAAGCGTGAAATTTACTGGAAATTAGCACCGGGGTCTCGGGCTCGGCATGAATAGTTTGATAGCATGCAAATCCCCGCGACATTAAACTGCGCCGCCGCCTGTGCTACAGGGTCACTCGCAGTTGGTTTTTCATGTTTTACTTATTATTTTTTCCTGGGACAGGTTGTAAATAACAACAAAAAAAACGTAAACCGGAATGAAAAGGCTGTTTTAAGGCTCTGCGTGCGCGGGTGCCGCGCTGCTGGCACGTGGCGCTGCAGGAGGGACATTGCGACCTGCAGGAGGGACATTGCGAGCTGGAGGAGGGACGGCGCGGGCCTCGGTCCTGGCCCGA